GGTGCGTGCTAAGAAGGGACTTAGACTCTGCGACATCGGCTTTCCTGACGAGGGGTCCAAAATATATGTTAATGAACACTTAACACCGTCTAACAAACTACTTCTTAAAAATACTAAATTAAAAATGAAGTCTGCCCTATACCAATATTTGTGGGTTCGTGATGGAAAAATCTTCGTTAGAAAAAACGATACCACTCACGCTTTACGTATTAAAGACAGGTCAGATGTTTTAAAAATTGTCTGACTATTTGTAAGTTTTGATCTTATCTTAGTTTGCATCTACGAGTACTTAGTAAGTGAACACACTGTGTTGTGCACAAAGTTAGGCTATAATTATCTAGGTAAGCATTATTATTTATCTGTTAACACTGATATTAATATCGTAATGTATTTATGTATAACAATAAGATCATGTTTTTATTTATACGTATTATTATATAAAGTATTTTATATTTATGTAATGCACTTACAATATTTATATAAAACACATAACACATGTTTCATAACTTTATTGTGTATATTGTTGCCTACTTATAAGAGTATATACAACCTATTTCGTGAAACTATTTTAACTATTATAATTTACCGCATCGTAGTAATCATATCGTCACTGTCGTCATATTATGTGTCTGTCTACGTCCATGATTTGTCAGTCTTTGAGGTAATACACTACTATAACTGTTATGAGGCTGTTAGTAGCTTATGCTGTACACTAAAACGTAATTTTAAGTTTGTTTTTACTGGTCACTATTTTTATTCATTGTTTGCACCGTGTTGGTTGCACGGGAAGTTATTAAAAAAACTTTGTAGATTCATATTCATTCCTTAATTATGTCTTTAGATAGAAAATTAAATATATTTTATCAGAACGTACGTGGTCTCCGTACTAAATGCCTTGACTTATATAATAATATACTATCGTGCAACTACAACGTTATACTCCTTACAGAAACTTGGTTGCAAGATGATATATTTGATAACGAATTATGTGATGGCAGGTTTGATGTATTCCGTTGCGATAGAAACTTGGTGGCTACGAATAAGAGTTCGGGTGGAGGTGTAATGATTTGTACCCGTCGTGAGCTAGGTGTGACTAAGCGTGTAGACTGGGGTTGTAAATATTTTGAATCTATATGTGTCAGCTTGCCAGCCCGATTACTCGGCTCACAATACAACCTAAATATAATACTAGTTTACATACCACCAGATGAAGTTAAATTAGCTGAGTATATTAATGAATTTAGAATCAGTTTTGAGCGTTTTTATCATACGTCACAATCGGACTTCTTTATGATTATTGGTGATTTTAATTTGCCTTGTTTAACATGGAACACTGATGGTTGGTCTTTGATACCGATAGGCAAATCTGAGGTTCAATTAGCTGCTAATACCTTGGCTGAGGATCTGAGCGTTTTAGGTATGAATCAATTTAATTTTATTCAAAATCGTTGTAATAATGTCCTCGACTTGTGTTTTTCAAACTTATATTTAGAAATAAAAAAATCGGATCCTCTTTCCAGATTAGATGATTTTCATCCTCCATTCACGGTTGATGTCACTGATCTCTCCATCAAACCTTTAAAAGAGAAACCTCAACCGAAGTATAATTTCCGAAAATGTAATTACACAATCATCAATGAATTTTTGAATAAGGTTGATTGGAATGAGTTGCTGTTGAATACCGCGTCAGTAGATCATGCTGTAGAAAATTTTTATAAAAAATTAAACGAATGCTTTGTCCTATTTGTTCCTCTTGTACCCTCTTGTAATAATTATTACCCATGTTGGTACAGCACTGCATTGATAAAAATTTTACGGGAGAAATCTAAAGCCCATAAAAAATGGAAAAAATGGAAGAATCCTCGTGATTATGAAGAGTTTAAATTGCTTAGAGATAGACAACATCGTATACAAAAGAAATGTTTCGAGCATTTCACGTGTAACACTGAAAAAAATTTGAAAACGTCGCCTAAGTACTTTTGGAAATATGTTAAGTCAAAGAGAGGGACATCCACTTATCCTCAAAATTTCTCTTTTAACAATAAGAATTACTCTAATGGGCAGGACATTTGCTCAGCATTTAATAACTATTTCAAAAGCGTATTTACTGATTCTGTTTTACCATCAAGTGAGTTTCATAACCATTCCGATATGAGCATAGATCAGATCTCTAGCATAAATATATCCCGGGAAGCTGTTCTTAAGTATCTTAAACACTTGGATTCAAACAAAGGGGCTGGTTATGATGGAGTGCCTCCTGTGTTCTTGAAGTCCTGCGCCGATAGCTTAAGTTACCCAATTTCTTTACTTTTTAAACTTTCTCTACAACATTCTGTTTTTCCATTGTTATGGAAAAGAGCGCATATAATTCCTATTCATAAAAAAGGCGCCAAATCTAAGATAGATAATTACCGCCCAATTTCGATTCTTAGCACTGTTGCGAAAATTTTTGAAAAACTAGTATTTGATAAAATTTATCCAATTATTATAAAAGGTATACCTAACTCTCAACATGGTTTCTTGAAGAGACGCTCTACCACGTCTAATCTTGCCTGCTTCACTGAGTACGTTCTCAATCATATGGAAAACGGTGGTCAGGTTGACGTGATATACACGGATTTCGAAAAAGCTTTTGACCGTGTTAATTATGTTGTCTTGCTACAAAAGCTCCAGGCGCTCGGAATTCATGGAGATCTGCTTAGATGGGTAAAATCTTATCTAATGAATCGATCTCAGGCAGTTATTCTCGGAGGATACAGGTCAGATTTTATTACTATCCCATCTGGCGTGCCTCAAGGCTCTCATCTTGGCCCCCTATTCTACAACGCATATATATTTGATATACATAAATTTATAAGTAACTGTCATCACTTACTGTACGCCGATGATAAGAAAATATTTCTCAGTGTTCGTACTATTGAAGACTGCGAATCTATTCAAAAAGATCTTGCCTCTTTATATAACTTTTACGTAGCTAACGGCATAAATGTAAGCATATCTAAATGTCAGTGTATATCTTTCACCAGGAAATTGAATCCAATAGTATTTCCCTATAATTTTAATGGAATTTTAATTAAGAGGGTCACAGTTGTTCGAGATTTAGGCGTACTCTTTGATGCTGGCATGACCATGCGAGATCATATCAATAGTATATGTAGTAAATCTTTTCGTAATCTTGGATTTGTCATGCGCACATGTCTTCCATTTACGGAATTACTAAGTCTTAAAATAGTTTATTTTTCGTATGTAAGATCCACTCTTGAGTATGCATGCCAGGTTTGGTCACCGTTTTTTAAAATTTACATTAACAATATTGAAAGAATTCAACGTAAATTTATTTCACACCTGAACTATAAATTTAAACATAATAGCTCATCATATTTAGATGACTGCCGACACTATAACCTTCTTACGCTCGAAGAAAGACGAGGACTGTTAGATATGGGATTTCTATATGATATTTTACGCGAAGGTATTGACTGTCCGGATTTACTGAATACTGTCACGTTTAATGTGCAAAGAAAACGTACTAGAATCACCAAGGAAACTATGTTTTGTATTCCTCGTCACTCCACACTTTACGGTAAAAATAGTATCTTAACACGATTGTTATCAAATTATAACAAAACATTTAATACCATCGATCCCTTTATAGGCAGTAAAAGTGATTTTAAAAACAAGGTACGTGCATTCATTTTGAACACAGCTTCTGTTGTTTGAATTGCCTGTATTTGTAACCATTTACGTAGGATGCAGGTAGGGTACATTATGAAGAACACTTTCTGTAGGTATCTATATTTAAATAATAAGTAAACTATGTAATATTTTAGAATATGTATGTATATGTATGTGTGTGTATGTGTGTATGTATGTATGTGTATATATGTATATGTATGATAGATATAATATAATATGTATATATATGTATGTATGTGTATGTATGTATATATATGTATGATAGATATAATATAATATGCCATTATATAAATAAATTAATAAAAAATACTCGAGAAGTAAATCGCATATCAATTTTATCAGTAAGGCTTAATATGTAAGCGTTAGTAAACCTAAAATTACTTAATTTTTATTTTTATTACTGTTATTTTATTAAGCTGTTTTAAATTGGTCTAATTTGCATTGTTTTTATTTATTATAATTGTACCTGGCTTACCTTTATATTTAATATGTGGATGACTGTTATTGGCATACTTGAAGTGAAATTGAAAATTGTATTTAGTGATATACGCTGTTGTTATCCTTATTAAAATAAAAATAAAAAATAAAATAAAACAATTGTATTTACGTGGAAAAATAAACAGCGGTAAGCATATATAATGCGGTTTTAAATCTAAGTGCTTCTATGATTACCTTTACACGCAAAATCAGAGGAACCTTCTTGTCTTAACCTAAGCCCACCCTAGCTCGAAGTATCGCTCCATCAATAAGATCGGAGGTAGGCTAAGCATGCATTATGAAGTTCAAATGCCATACATTTGAACTACATAATGGGTTCTGTTAATACTTTTAACATTAATAATATTAATAATATTCCCTTTAACCACTTACTCTTGTGGTAAATGTGGTTCATGACAATAGACGTATGACGGATTTGAACCCACAACTTCATAAGTTTGCAGTATACTAACGAAGGCTACATTGTGTCATTAAGAACCAGACTAGAAAAACAACCTGTGCTTTTGCATAAAATGGTAGCTCCGGACGAACAGCCGCGGCGTAATGGTCAAGTACTCTGACCTGCTTAAATCTGCTTTAACTTTAATGGTACTGTACATAACAATTATCAGGATAACTTATTATTAAATAATGTCTATTGTTTCAACAACAATCGTTTTATTGTGTACAATAAATAAAAATAAATACTGTCAATAAATAACTAGCTCTACACACTAGCCGTTTCGATCAGTGCGTTGGAAATATGTACAAAGGTCTACTCCTTTTCGTGCTTCCATTATTTACATACAGAGGTAGGTTAACGGTCATTAGTAGGTGGATGAGGAGGACGAGGAAGATGATGAAATCGACGCAACGCTCGAGTAACTAGGAGACTGGTTAGAGGCGGCCGAAGCGCTCGAATCGCTCGGGTAGTATGAGCTATAGGCCAGTTGAGATGGATCCCAAACTCGGGAGTACGGTCCGGAGCTGGCAGGCTCCCATTGAGGACTGTAGGAGTCTTGTGGAGCGGCAGGCGTGGATGGAGGTCCGTACTGAGATGCAGGCGGGCCATATTGAGACGCTGGAGGAGCTTCCGTCGGTGTCATCATCATCATAGGCATACCTTTAAACAGAAATTATTCATTAATTTTCTATGTCAATTTATAAAAACAAAACAGATTAAATATTGCGTCTACTTTAAAATGTATTGCTTAAAATGATTTGTTTTTTTTTATCTAACCTCCTTTCTTCATCACTAAGTTGTAGATCAGGAATCCAAGGACCAAAGTAATAGCAAGTTTGCTAAGAATAAGGGCCTTCACAGCCTTGAGTCCAACGATAGTCACCAAAATAGGCATCAGCGCTTTCAACTTCAGCTTCAAGAGGAGGAGGACTGGCAGCAGGAGCTTCTTCTTCAAGATGCCTCGAGCTGAAAGAGAGTAACCATAATTAAAATTTTATTTGTTTTTTTTTAATAGCCGCGATTTGTAAATAGTACCTTCGCCATTTTCCGAATTTCCTTCGGGGAATTCGACGTCTAATCCTCTGTCAGCGCGGTAGGTGACCTCTGCACTCTGGAAGAGGAACTCGGGCAGTTGCAATCTGAACTCGTTGGTGTTTAAGATCCTTCCAACTCTGTCGAAGATAACTTTATCGATGTTCTTCTCTTCCAAAGCTCTCGCTGATTCCGTGCTCACGCCGAGTTTAGTATCGAGGAACGACAGGACTTTCACTTTGAGACAGGACATCGGTGAGCTGGCTTCGAAACAATCACTTATAACACTATCCAGGAGGTCGTCACTAGTTCTCAACCGGGTCGTTTCGATTTCATTGTCCTTGATGGCATAACTGTGTACCAGGGCCGCGGAAGCCAGGAGGAGGCAAAGGCACTTCATTATCGCGATTTTCACTTTGTCATTAGATTTGATTAATTAAACGTTCGGCGCGGCCGGTTAATGGAACAACAATGATTTAATTTTTCAATGGGCTTGGTTTTTATACTTGATCCTTTGGGCGTCAAGGCACGCGGTACGCGGGCGTGCGTTGAATAGAAATGCCTTTCATACTTGGCGAAGTATTTAATTTCGTTTAAGAAAGTCCTGGTGGTGAGAGTGAGTATTGTGTTTCGGTGATAGTAATATTAATATAAAATCATAAATATCTATAAAACCGTTAAAAACCCTGATGACTGAGATGGAACGCCTCGTTTCCAGTAAAAATGGTCCTATCCCGTTCGAGCCGACCCATTCGTGCTACAACCATAATATAGCTGCAGCGTGGCTCTACCACGTGTTAAACTTTTTTTTAGAAATTTGATAATTTAGAATATCAATAACGACTATTTATGATTATCCATTTCTGTAACGTGGTTTTAATATCTGGTGAAATAAAAGAAATATATTGTGAATTTATTCCAAATATATTGTTTTTGTATTATCTAATAAGTTTTGCAATGATTCACATCACGAGTTCTGTCTATTACGCGATTATCGTGTTTAAAATATATGTACATACGCAAGGATCCCTGCGCGTTTGCGCATCTAGATGATTACATAATTACATTATCGTGCACTCTGTATCCATACAATTTTTTGTTTGTTTTTGTAAATGAGTTACATATATTTTAGTTCGTTCGTTTTTGAATCTGTTGATGTCTTTATGTAGGATGATTTTTATCATCAGGATGTCTTTTACTTTTACGGGATTGTAATATCTTAATTTTAATTACTTACAATTAACTAAGGTAATTACTAATTAACAGCTTTGATGGTAGATATATTGATTTAACGTATACACTAAGTACCTACCTACATAAATTCTCACGCTTGTCACCTATAGAGATAGGCATATTTTTCATTCAGCTAAGCCAAATGGACTGTAACTATCCACTTCTCGCCCCTCGGTGAGACAGAAAGTGACGGGTGGGGAGCTTCATCGGCGATTTTGCTGCTAGATATCCTTCGCACCCCTGCCTCGTTAAAGGGGCTCCGTAAACTCAGGGCCATTTCCTTTTGACTCTGAATTATGATACGAAATAAAGGGTGGTAGAATTTTAAGCTGCTACCACATGGCTAAGAGCTGGTAATCTGTTGATTCGGTTTTGTCACTTGTTGAGCACCAACCAGGAGACACTTGTAGGACCGAGGAAGCCTTTATCATCATCCATCCCTTATCATCATCCATCTGCTACAAATCCAATTGATTTGTAGCTATAGCCTATCATTTAGTCTGTGCTATAGAATAGAAACAATTTTCTATACAATGTCTCTATATTTTGTACCTTACTCTAACTTCTATAATTTAGCTGCTACGTTTTCTTATAAACTAAATAATCTCCTTTCACCTTAGATTTATTTGCCACACAGAGTTCAATCCAAAGAAGTTCTTTACTTGGTCATTATCATCACCATAATTTTTTACGTGATAGAACCATGCTACAGCTATATCAGTAGTATAGTTGTAGCACGAATTGGTCGGCTCGACCGGGGAAATATCACGCTCTCACAGAATACCAACGTAAAATAGCAGCTTAACTCTGCTGTGACCGGAGACCCTTTTTACTGCAAACGAGGCATTCCATCTTAGTCTTCACGGGTGACAACGCATCTGCATTTTGATTCGTAATCGAGGATAGATGTAGATGTCTATGGGCCGCAGCAACCACTTACCATCAGGTGCACTGTGTGCTCGTTTGCCATCCATATCCTATAAAAAACCATCAGTTCGTATAAATCCATTGCTGAACATGAACCTCTCCCATTTTAAAGAGCATTTGTTTTATAATCATCACCCTAAAATCGTAATCGTCACACCAACGTCTCCCACGTTTGAAGCTGCTTCCCTTCGGAGGTTTGAATATTTTACGCCAGGCGTTGAAGAGATTGCAAAAAGATCTTTCATTATAATTTCTTTAGTTTATTCATCGTATCGTACAAAAAGAAAATAAATTTTTGCAGTTTAAAAAAAATAACTTTTAATAAAAAGTAAAAGCCGACTTCAACGAACTAAAAAGAATAAAATAATTTCAAAAAAGTTTGTCCTAAGATAAAGTGTATAGAAGAATCACTTCCCATGATTCCAGTACGTAAAATCATTTTATTATTTGGTTCCTTGTAGTCGGCTTTTACTTTTTGTTAAAAGTAATTTTTTACGCTTTTGAGTGAACATCACTATCAGTGTTACCAACCCGAAGTCATAGATAGGTATAAAAATTTCCGTAGAATTCCGTAGATGCTATTTCAAAATATCCGTACATCTGCAGACTTCTTAAGAGGATCGAAATTTTTTGTTTTTGTCATAGAATAGATCAATTTTTTGGAGAAATCCTTTATGTCATATAAAATTCTTGTTGTAAGTTCGATTGTAGTATAACATCGAATTAAGCTGCACTTATAAGAAAAAAATACCATAAAAAATTCATTAAATATTGATTGTCTTCTATTAATTAAATATTTTTTTAGTAAAAAAACAAATAAAATAATTAACACTTAAATATTTGTTGATGTAGGAGAATTTCATCCAAAATCCAAAGAATATCTGCCTTTCTTATCTGTCAAATTCAATTCTCCCGATGCGCTGAGATATGGATTGTTAAAATGTTCGATTGTCGGTTGTCGGGTAAGTTCACACTTATGATAAAAAATGTTTCTTTTTGTTAAGTTTTTAAAAATCTAATTATACTGAAAGGACTGTGAAGGACAAAAAAAATTACATGTAAATCGAATTCCGTAGATTTCAACTCAAAATCCGTAGTTCCGTAGACGATGAAAAATTCCGCAGATCTACGGAAAAATCCGTAGAGTTGGCAACGCTGATCACAACCTCAATATCGTCTAAATGTTTACATTAAAAAAATATATCCTCTATTTTCCCACCCTTAATCTTTTCTTCAAATTTATATGGGACCACCCATGCAGTACCTATACTCTATTTAATAAAACAAAAATCATCAAAATCGGTTCGCAATTGTCGAACTGTAAGTCTTCTCCTTTTTTTTAAAAGTCGGCTAAAAAAAAGTTACCTCTCGTTTATAAATCAACAGTCGTCTCATATAATATTCACTTCGTTTACAGCTCTCCCCATCACTTCATACATATCAATCAATCACACTTCAATTGATTTGGTAACATTAAAAATACGCTCTAGGACTTCGCAATACCCTTATATAACGTGAATTACTTTTGTTGAAAAATTTTTCTTTGGATGTAACGAACGCCGTGTTGTGACGCCGGCCAAAAATTACATTCGACGTTGTTGAGAACTCTATGCACAAAGTTCGTCATCATCATCATTACAGCCCTTCAGAAGTCCACTGTTGAACATAGGCCTCCCTCGAGGCATGCCACAAAGCACGGTCCTGAGCCACCTGCATCCATCGACTTCCTGCAGCATGTCTTACCAGGTCGTCACTCCATCTAGTGGGTGGACGCCCTACACTTCGTCCGCCGGTACGAAGCCGCCACTCGAGAACGTTTTTTCCCCACCGGTTGTCGGTTTCTTCGAGCTATATGGCCGGCCCATTGCCACTTCAGCTTATTAATCCGTTGGGCTATGTCGGTCACTCTGGTTCTACTGTGGATATCCTCATTCCTAAGTTTATCACAGAGAAACTCCGAGCATAGCCCTCTCCATAGCTCGCTGAGTGACCTTGAGCTTCCTCATCCAGCCAGCAGTGAAGCACCACGTCTCAGTTCCATAAGTCATCACTGGCAACACGCACTGGTTGTACAGTCTCGTTTTTAAGTTTTGAGGTATACCTAACAAGAAGATGTGCCGTAATTTTCCGAACGCTGCCCGACCGAGTTGAATACGTCGATTGACCTCTCGGTCGAAGTTGGACTTACCTAGTAGGACTATTTGTCCTAGGTAAACATACTCGTCAACAACTTCGAGCTTAGTACTTCCAACAACTACCGGCATAGGTGTGACATGGACATTAAACATGATCTTTGTTTTGTCCATGTTCATCTTAAGACCTATTCGTTGGGAGACACTATTGAGGTCATTGAGCATAGTGCTTAGGTACTACAGCGATTCTGCCATAAGGACTATATCGTCGGCAAATCGAAGGTGAGTGATGTACTTGTCATTGATGTTAATTCCGTATCCTTTCCAGTCCACAAGCTTCAAAACGTATTCCAATGCAGCGGTGAAGAGTTTTTTTTTATAGGATAGGGTGACAAACGAGCACACAGTCCACCTGATGGTAAGTGGTTACTGTGACCCATAGACATCTACATCTATCATCAATAAAGACTCAAGATGCAGATGCGTTGTCACACGTGAGGACTAAGATGGAATGCCTCTTTGCCAGTAAAAAGGGTCTCCGGTTCTCTACACTCACCATACGAAACACAGCAGCGTTAAGCTGCTATTTTACGCTGGTTTTCTGTGAGAACGTGGTCCTTCCCCGGTTGAGCCGACCCATTCGTGCTACAACTATACTACTAATATAGCTGCAGCATGGCTCTACCACGTATAAGTTTCGGGGATATAACGTCGTCTTACACCTCTCTGCTATAGGATAGGTTTCGTACTCTAGTTCTGTACTTGGATAGCCATCGTAGCCCTACTGTACAAGCACTTCAGCACTTCGATATACCGACAGTCAACTTGGCACCGCTGAAGGGACTGTAGCACCACCCAAATTTCGAGGGATTCAAATGCTTTCTTATAGTCGACATACGCAAGGCAAAGTAGCAGATTATACTCCTCTGTATTTTGTACAATTTGCCTTTTCGGTAACCAGCTTGTGCGGGAGGCTGGAAGTCGTCAAGTCTGCGTGCGATTCGTACTCTCGAAAACAGCACGTAGACGCGGCTCAGAAGGGAAATCGGTCTGTAGTTCTTCAAGAGAGCGTTTTCGCCTTTCTTGAAGAACAACACTTCTGCTCTAC